TCCCTTGCCATTTCAGTTGATGCCATTTTTCTTTCTCAAGCTCTGATTTCATTAGATTAAAGAGTAGCTTGGCAGTTGCCCTCTCATTATCCAGCAGTGCTCCGTTTATATTCTGTGTATTAAAAAATAAAAACAGAAGTAGAAGCAGCATACAACATGCAAAAACGAAAACAATTGTCTTTTCTACAGAAAATGAGGGGAGTAAAACCCACAAACGATAACGAATACCCTGCCAAGTAGAAATTTCTTCTATATTTCAGTGATTGATAGGCAGAAAAAATTAATTTCATTTGGGGAAAGAAAGACATTTTAGGAATATTCAGACTGCTGTCTTGCCCCAGGTAAAACATTTACCATGGCCTTATCATTAATGAGCTTGTGAACATCAGCTGCCAAGAGGAAGGACATTTCCTTCAGTTTCACAGAATACTTGGCCAGTACATCTGCTATCTGTGCAATCAAACAATACAGAAAAGCAACAACAATGAAAAGTAGAACTCAAATATCAATTTCCCAAGTTAAAATCTACATGAACAAGACAATTTTTCCATTAAAGTGACTTCCATTAAATTAATTATATTATAATGAATTCAAATTAATTGGATGACACACAGATTGAGAAGTAAATTTTAAAATATTAACCTTAGTTACCTTAAATACTGATTTTTTTCAGTAATTCCTAAAAACAGTAACTAAAACATTCCACTTTGCTACTACTCAGGTGATTTCTCTTTAATATCTGTGATGAATAAGTGCTCAGCAGACAAGCTGCAATTTGAATTTAAAAATCAAACCAACTTCCTATCAAATATCTGAAGGGTATGCACCAGTGCCTGTTGTAAGTGAACACAAAATTAAAGTAAATGTGTTCACCTCTGACATTTATTGTAACTAATCCAACATCTCTGACATTTATTGTAACTAATCCAACAGAAATGTTACTGGTGATATTCTTGGACCTATTCATCATACCTGAATTACAAAGAGAGATGAAAGTGGCACTCGTAGAACAAACTGCTTTTCTTAGCCTACAAGTACAGTGCAGCAATCTCTTCCATAATCTATCCATTTTTATATCCAAACATTTCCTATGATGTCCAGTGACTTTTAACAAGTCAGGCTGAAGACTACAAAACTGCAACACGTTTGCTACAAACACCCAGCCAACCCCAACTAAAATCAAGCTAATTCATGTCTATGCTCCTTCTCAGTTGCAGAACAGGTATGTCCTCTTCAAAAAATAACAGATCAGATGAAAGTTTCACCTATGCAACCCCCCATGGAAATAAAAGCAGCTCACATATTCCTTGCACCTCTAGTAAAGGCAATTGTGAAAGAAAGAAACACCTTAAAACTAGGAAAAAAGTAGCTTCTCCTGATTATGTGGATGTATAATGAGTGAATAGTTTATTGGTGAAAAGAAAGCAATCACCACACAACAGAATAACCTCTGACTCATTTGCTCTGCATCCAGCAATATGTCAGCAAATAACAATCCTGTGCTTAAATAACAGTTATTAAGACTGCAGCTCACTTTAACAGCTCGACGCCTTTCAATCTCCTTTAAGGATTTGTCCACTGCCCTAATCTGCTTCTTTCTGTTTGAGGATTCCTTGTGGATCATATTCCACAGTTCTTCCAAACCCTGCAATAAAAATCTATTCTCAATCTCATTGAAAAGGACATTGAATATATATATTAAAAAAAAAAAAAAAAGGAGAAATACAAGAATTTAGGACTCCAGGGAGCCATAAGATGTTACACTGTACAAGTAACTGAAGTTGAGCCAATGCTCTGAACTGCCTTACTTCAAACGAGAAACCTTCCAAAGCCATGTCAGACGCAATCTTTTCAAACAGAAGTTTACTCTTTTCATCTGATTTCATCACTTTTAGCTGAAAGAATTCCTGAAGCTTCAAAACAGAGGCTTCCATCTCCTGAAATGGTAGGTCAGCGTGATCATTCAAATATTGGGCCCTGATCTTAGGAAAGCACCCTTAGACTCTGGATTAAAAAATCCTGCATTACCCTGCCAATGCAGTTCAGCTCCTGCTGCATTTCGGTCATTGCTCGATCATGATGCTTTTGCTGCCATTCTGCCAAGTACTTCCATGTACGGCTACCTGTTTCCTCAGGAACTGCTGAGAAAGAAATGAAGATCCTATAGCCTGGAAGTGCTGCTGCAGAACATGGAATGTATGAACTGTAAATCCCTAAATCTACACTATGACTGCTGCAGTTTGTGCAGCTCTCACAGTGTGCAATATCTTTCCATGGGAAATGCAATCTTAGCAAATGGAGGTTAAAAATACAAAATACTAGAGTGTATTTTAAATTTTCCTTTATTAACTTCTGATTTTCAGAAGTATAATAGTATCAATTACATCATCATCAGGTATGATATAAAAAAATTGCAACATTTCAGGAATGAGATCTGATTACATAAAAACTGGAATTTATCATCTAAGCATAACCTGTGACTGACTGACAATTCCACAACTGTTTTTTTTCTATTAGAAGACTCTTAATCTTCGAAATTACCTACAAATCCTCAAAAATGTGTCAGACCATTTCTGAACTTGATTTTTGTTGCCTTGCAAGAGAAAGAGTGCCAATCTGGGTATAACCAAACTGTGTATTCTACTCCCCTCTACCTCATTTTGTGATAAACTGTTTTAATGATGGGTCATTTTCAGTGCATATCCGACCCCCCAGGCAAACCCTGCAAGGTGAGGTAGTGTTTCTTTATCCTTAGGATGACTCAGCTGGGGAGGCAGCCGCACCACCCATCCTGAAAGGGCTATCTCTGTTAATGGGCCATAATGAACTGAATATGCACTAGAAAATGAGCAGCTGGAACAGACTATTAAGGACTCCAAAAATATTCTATGACTCAAGGGATTATATCATTTCATTGTGAACGTCCCTGTCCTGGGGCATGTACCACCTGAACCCCACTGGATATAATTTAGGCAGTCTGGGGTCTTGGGATACCACCACCACTGGACATCCAGAAGAGCACTCGAACTTCCACAAGAGCACTGCTTCTGACAGGAGTGCAACCACCCCGACCAAGAGTGACAGTTTGTACACTGACTTTGTGGTTTTAAACCAGTTTTTCTGTATCATTGCACTTGCTGTAATCTTTCCATTAAATTCTAACTCTGACTTGAAATCTTTCGCAAGGAATTTGTGTGGGGTTAATTTGTTCCGCTGGTTTACTTTTAAACTAGGACAATTTTATACCTTGTTCAGCTAAACTCATTAGATTACCATGTCTCCTGTGAATGCAAATTAAAATAAATGACATTAAGGAAAACCAGTTTTACCAACTGCATCAGGCAGGCCTGTGACTTTCTCAGTTGAACGTGCATCTACATTTCCCCTTGCCTCTAGAACAGTTGTAGGTTGTCTGAAACAGACAGGGAATAAAGCTTTGATTTGTACTAAAAATGCAACAGAAGAGGGACTAACTAACATAATAGTATAATTCACTTTAATTGGCTAAATGTAATATTAAAGTGATCATAATTAACATTCTAACTTTAAAGAATATAATTCAAAGAATCAACGTTGCTTCTTCTGAGACATTGAAGCCTGAGTAGATCCCAACTTCAAATCTAGTAGGACGGCATGAAAGCAATACCTGCTACATTTAGTACATGGAAACTACAAAGACATCTAGAACAGCTCTAAAAGATTAAAAAAACCTATGGACTTTTAAGGAGACGTTGAAGAAATGTGGAACTAGCCTTTATCTGCCCAGTGCTTTTCCCAAAAGCACGGGCACTGTGTTTCTCCTCAGGATAAGTGAGAATCCCTATATCATTATTCAGCAGCTGGCTTAGGGTAAAAAAGGATGCATGCAATCACTTCATTCCTGTTCATGACATAAACCTACTGCATCATCATGGAAGCCATTTACTTGGAAATATAGCCTAGGTGTCAGACTGGGTACATATCTAGATTGCTATGAGCAAAACCAATTTCTTTTTAACATGAAAGCCATACAATATGCCGGCCATGGCAAATATTAGTCTATTAGCCCTGCACTTCAACGTGCAGTGAGCAGTTCATGACACCAAGTTTACGTTTGGCAAGGAGACAGTCTATTTATTACAAGCCCCTAGTTCTAGAACCAAGAATTCAGGAGTTGCTCATTCCCAATGAAAATCTGTCCATTTCATACCTTTAGCTATGAACGTATCATTGCGGTTTTATGCTTCTGTTGTTTACCTGTCTGAGTGTGGCTGTCTTGTGAAGTCACTGATGGGTGTTTTTCCAACACATTTCTGCTGATTACATGGTAATTGCATGGCATCAGCAGACATCTCTGAATGTCTCTTGAAAGTATGCTTTTTACTCTTCCTAGAGGACCTTGTCTTCTTCTTTCCTTCACCCAAAAGGTGGGCTAAGTGAGCCTTCAAAGAACCATCATCTCAACAATTAGAATTCCTTCAAACCTACTGGAGAACAACAACAAGAAAATTAATAAAAACTAGTATGCGAAACACAGCAGAAGAGAAAGGTAAAATAATGAATCCTACATGCCACATGCATAACTCTCTTCATTCAAGGCTATTTTCAAAATGAGA